GGGGCTCGGGAGTGGCCTGGGCAGCTCACACCTCTTCCGCTTCCCTCCCCTGGTCCCTACTTCTCCTTTCGGGGAGGCCTGGGCCAGGTCTCCCACTTGGGAGGGGGAGTCCTTTTGGCCAGAACTGGGGGAGGTCAGGCCCAGGCCGGGCTGGCTGGTCAGTCCTGTGACTCGTGGGCCTGGAGAATTCCCCCTCCCCTCCCCACCAGGCTTCCTCACAAGGCCCCCATTGTCCAGGAAAATCATGCCATTGTTTCCTGCCTGTGCCCCCCCAGCCCAGGGACTCCCCCCACCCCAATCCCGCCAACAGCAACTTGGGCCTAGGACTGGGGTCTCGGAGGTTAAATGCCAGGCTCAGGGAGGCTGAGGGCACCTTGCCTGCCCTTCACCACCACCTCTCAGACTCAGAGAGGGAAGCAGGGAGCTAGAGGGGAGTGGGGGAGCAGTTCCAGGCTCCTTCCTCCCACGAGCCCTCCACCCCCAGCCCTTTCCTCCCCTGCAGGCAGCTGGGCTAGGGAGGGAGCAGGCGCTGGAGCAGGGGCAGGAAGCCGGCTCAGGGGCAGCAGGAAACGCAGGAAGCAGTGGGGAGGGTGGGGAACAGGGGCCTGGGCTATTGTTCCATTTTTTCTGGAAAGAAAACGGCGGAAAAACAGAAGATGGGAGTCCCCTCCCCCTGTGCCTTCAGGGAATCCCTCTCAGGCTGGGGCAGGGAGTGGGGGTCCCTAGATAGCTACTGCCCAGGGTTGCGGCTGAGAGGTGGGAACTGCACTCTACTGGGCATGAGACGTGTGGGTGGGGTGGCTGGCAGGCCTCCCCCAGCTCCTCCAGCCCTGGCAAGAACTTGGATATCTGGGGCTCAGTACTCTGTTCTTCACAAGCCCCTTGTCCGTGGTCAGTCCAGGCCAGGAGGCCCACAATAGCCATGGTGACCCCCCCTCTAAGAACCTCTCATGCTTTTCCAGTGACCCCACTGAGCCTGGCCCCTCCTGCATTACCTCCTGCTGCTCTCCAGCCTGCACCCTGGGCTCTAGGAGGCCGCTGCCCCTGGTCCCTGCTGTGCGCTGGGTCCTGCGTCCATGCCTTCACTCTCTAAATGCTGCATGCACCAGGAAGCCCTCTGAAGCTGTCACCCGCTTCTCTTGGGCCATGATGGCAGTGTGTGGGGGGCTTGAAATGATGGGAGATGGAATCTCCCTTAGCCCAGCACTCCCACAGCAAGCACGGATTCCAGGCTAGGCCCTCTTGCCAGTCCAACCCTCAAATGTTCTTCTCCACGGCTGAGGACCCACTGCGGGTAGGGCTTGAGGCTGCTGAGCTGTTTCACTCTCTCTTTTTACAGAGTCTGAAATTGAGGCTCTGAGTTGAAGTAACCCCAGCCAGAAGTCATGCAGCCAGGGAGGGCTAGGCCAGAATTCCAGTCCTGGCCTTGGCCTTGACTGCCAAGGAGGGCTTCTCCGTCTGAGATATCGGTTCTGGAGGAGCTGCCCACCATTACGGGAGGGGATGACAGAGCACCAACTCCGCAAATACGAATTTAGGGGAGGAGAAGATGAGGAGCGCCAGCTTCCAGAGGACTTCCTTGAGGTGGGAGCCACAGTTGGGCAGGATGCTTAGGGCCCACCTGAGAGATCCCAATAACTTGTTCAAACGGCAGCTACAGGCCGGGGTCAAGGATTTCTGAAGCTGGGGCAGGAGGACTCAGCTGGGTGCCTGGGACTCTTGTTTTGGAGCTAGCTTGAGCCCAGGAGCACCTCTGGTCAGCTGAGACCCCCTAGGGTGGGAGCTCCTGCCTGCAGTAGACCCTAAGCTAGGCTCAGCAGAAGGTTGGGAGCAGGTGTGTGCCAGGGCCATGCCACCCCCCAGCCACGCCCCCAGAAACTCACTGTTGTTGGACTTGAGGTCTCGGTGGATGACGGGCACCAGGGCCTCACAGTGCAGGTAGTGCATCCCACGGGCAATCTGCACAGCCCAGTTGACCAGCACATGTGGAGGCACACGCCGCCCGGCTAGAGCTCGGCTGAGGGGCCCACCGGCGGCATACTCCATCACCAGGCACAGGTTGGGTTCCTCCAGGCACACAGCCTTGAGGGCAATGATGTTGGGGTGTGCCAGCATGGCAAAGAGCCGGGCCTCCTGGCGAACGCTCTCAGCTGTCACACTGATGTCCTCATCGGGGTCCTGGCGAGCTGCCTTCACAGCCACCAGCTCTCCTCGCCAGCTGCCACGGTAGACCTTGCCGAAGCCTCCAATGCCGATCACCTCCTCCAGCCGCAGCTCCTGGAAGCTGGCCACCTCACAAGGGGGCGGGCCACCGCCCCGAGACACATAGTTGGATGGGAAGATGCCCACCTGGCCCCCCACCTGGCCCGCCCACCAGCCCTCATCTCCTGAGATGGCTGCGTCCCGAGACAGCACCTCCACACGGTCACCCTTCCTCAGGGCCAGCTCATCCTGCCCACTGGGCTCGTAGTCGAACAGGGCTGTCCACACCGGGTTGGCATAAGCTGCTGTCTTTGGAGACCCCTCAGGCCGGCCTCCTCCGCCACCCCCGCCACCCCCGCTGCCGCTGCCGTTCCATGACCCTAGAGGGCTCTTGAGGAAGAGGTTCTTCAAGGGCTCCATGGCCCGGAGCCGGCGTCGGGATGCGTGGAGGACCTTCTCTGGCTGCCTGTGGTCCCCACCCCTGCTGGCTGCCGAGGCCCTAGTCCCGAAACCTGGGCATCCGGGCCCTGGCCCTCAGCCCCAGACCCACGCTTCTCTGGGGAGCCAGGAGTGTCTCCTCCCGGCCCCCCGCATCTCGGGCTTCTGGAGGAGGGCACCCAGGTCAGTGTGGTCAGGCTGGGGGTGTGGGGCCCCGAGGCCTCTGGCGCCTCACCATGGCTGGCTTGGAAGGGCCCGGGCTTCCCTCGGTTCTGGAGCAGTCCTGGGAGCCTGGCTCCGACCCTCACCAAGCGTAAGGTGGGGCCTCCAGGGGCAGCGTCTCAATTCCGGTTGGGTCTTTTCGCGCAGGGGCTGGAGGGAGCGTCCCCAGTTGGGCCGAGACTACCTCTTCCTGGCCCTGGCTCCTTTGGCCCCGACGGCTCCGACCCCGTTCCCTTCTTCCTCCTCCCTTTGTACTTTGGCCCCAGGGGGCGGGAGGCAGAGGTGGAGGGTGGAGTTTCACTTTTTTCCGCTCTTCTCCCTCCTGCAGGAAACAGCATCAGATGACGCGGGCAGCTTGCACCGCTCCCCTCCCGGAGGCTCCAGGCGGGAAGTTCCCCGGTAGGCGGGCCAGGAGCGGCAGAGGAGGGAAAGGGCTGCACCAGATTCTCCATCACAGCAGGCTTTGAGATCTAGAAAAAAGGCCCCCCCACCCCCCACTCCCCCCTACGCCCGCGAGCTGCGTGCTCTGCTGCGTAGGGTGGAGGTTGGTCTCTGCTAAGGATGGGCCATCTCTGCCCTCTGCGTGCGCATCGGTGTCAGTAAAAGGGGTTATAGAACCACACTTGGGAGGAGGGTGAACCCGAGTCTGGTCTTGGCTACGAAATTGTGGGACTGGGCGATCCATCGACTTTGAGCCTCGCTCTTTTCTTTCTTTCTTTCTTTTTTGAGACGGAGTTTGGCTCAGTCTCCCAGGCTGGAGTGCAGTGACGCAGTCTAGGCTCCCTGCAACCTCCGCTTCCCAGGTTCAAGCGATTCTCCTGCTTCAGCCTCCCCAGTAGCTGGGACTACAGGCGCCCCCCACAAGCCCTGCTAATTTTTGTATTTTTAGTAGAGACGGGGTTTCGCCATGTTGGCCAGGCTGGTCTCAAACCCCTGATCTCGTGATCCGTCCGCCTTGGCCTCCCAAAGTGCTGGGATTACAGGCGTGAGCCACCGCACCCAGCCATTCTTTTCATATATGATATGAGGACAAGAAGCTCTGCCTCGCAGAGCTAGTGGGATGGAGTGGGGAAGACTGGAGGACAGACGGAACTGGCTGCACCTCAAGCTCTTGGAGTGGGTTGTCTAAGGCTCTCCTCTTCTCCTCACCTGGGAAACAATCCGCTTCTTCAAGTCCCTTCCCCATTGGCGAAAACCAGAGACTTGTTCAGAACTTTGCCCAGGATTGGATTCAGAATAGCTGAGTCGCTCTCACAACCGCTAGATAGGGCTGCCCCTATTGCGTTGAGCCTGTCACTTTAAGAAAAACGACGCTGGTCGGGCGCGATGGCTCAAGCCTGTAATCCCAGCACTTTGGGAGGCCGAGGCGGGTGGATCACGAGGTCAGGAGATCGAGACCATCCTGGTCAACACAGTGAAACCCCGTCTCTACTAAAAATACAAAAAATTAGCTGGGCATGGTGGAGCATGCCTGTAATCCCAGCTACTCAGGAGGCTGAGGCAGGAGAATTGCCTG